TACTACTACTACTAGTACTAGTAGTCGTAGTCGTAGTCGTAGTCGTAGTCGTAATCGTAGTAGTAGTAAAAGTAGTAGTAGTTGTAGTAGTAGTAGAAATAGTAGTAGTAGTAGTAGAAGTAGTAGTAGTAGTAGTAGTAGTAGTAGTCGTCGTAGTCGTAGTAGTAGTGAAAGTAGTAATAGTAAAAATTGTAGTAGTAGCAGTAGTAGTAGTAGCAGCAGCAGCAGCAGCAGCAGCAGCAGCAGCAGCAGCAGCAGTAGTAGTAGTAGTAGTAGTAGTAGTAGTAGAAGTAGTAGTAGTAGTAGTAGTAGTAGTAGTAGTAGTAGTAGTAGTAGTATAAGAAGAAGAAGTAGTAGAAGTAGTAGCAATATTAATAGTAGTCGTAGTAATAGGCGCCCAGCGTCGTGAGGCCAACCCCGCTCGAGAGGCCGCATGGTCCTATTGGGAGCACGCCTTCACCCCCCCCGCCCTCCTCGCGACCCCCTCTTCGGGGGAACGGGTCCTCGGGGAAACGGGTCCTGCCCCCGACCGACCTCTCGCCCATTTCCCTGGGACGGGCTTTATCGCCCCAAATCGCTATGTGACGATCCCGAGGCCCAGTATAAGGCCTGGAGAGGCCGAACACTATGAAAAGCCTTCGTCTCGACTCTTTCGAGGCGCCAAATGTCTGGGACCAATTCTTCATCCTGGGGCCAGTGGAGGGCCCCCGGAGACCACAAGCGGCGAAAACCTCAGGGCCACTTTCCCTTAGGACGCTTCCACCATGGCGAGACCCCTTCTGCGTGCCGCCCCGTCTCCTCCCGCCCGCCGCGCCTTCTGCGATCGCTGCCGGCTCGAGGGGGACCCTGGCTGGCTCGGAGCTCTCGCCCTGCGACTTCAAGTCGCGAACCTTCTGGGAGGGCGGAGGAAACCGCCCCGCGCGATGTCCTCTCTGGCAAACGCACCTCAATAAGGAAGGAGTCGGTCAGGGGATGGATGCTCAGTGAACGCGCAAGACTGAACCTACTTGAGGAGGAAGAGGGCACCAGCACCGCTACCCTACCCCCCCTGGATCTCTCTCAAGGGGCATTCTGACCAGCGAGGCGAATCCAGCGGTGGCGACAAGGGCCTCCCAGAACGCCCAGAAAGGCGAGAACGAAGAAAAGATTAGCGGTAGCGGTCGTTACCCTTCCCTCTTCCGAATGTTTGGCCGGGTCGGAGTGGCCTTTCTCTCAGCCGAGGCCTGGCAGCGCAGCTCCTCCAGGCGCTCCCGCTCCAGCTGCAGACGGTGGGCCTGGAGCTGCGCCTGCTGCTCCAGCACGCTCCTGCCCCGCTCCGCCGCCTGCGCCAGAGGGCGCCGCGTGCACACCTGCCGCCGATGCTGGCCAGTCCAATCCTGGGCCCGGGACTGGAGCGTACCCCCTGATCTGGGCGCTGCAATGTCTCCACAGCGGGCATTGTCGCAGGGCCGCGGGCCCTGGGATCTCCACAGATCGATGCGGCTCGAAGGCTGCCCCGAAAAGCTGGGGTCCAGGGCCTCGGTGGCCATGTTGCGCGATGGCTTCATGTTTTGCGACGCCTGTGGCTTCGGCACCTTCCCTGGAGGAGCAGTTGCATAAACATCAACTCGTGGAGATTCTCGCAGATTCCTGGATCGGGGCTGGACCCCCCTCCCTGGCACGAAGAGCACGCTGGGGGCGGCGCCCGAGGCGCCGCCAGGGGGGCTCCAGTGCCAATCCGAGAAATCCGCGCGGACCCTCGCAAGTTGAAGTGATGCACTGCTTCGTTCCCCGATTCAGAAGGGATGGCCTCGCGTAACTTTGCAGCCTGCCTTGTCTTATTGCGCTCCGCAATCACCCATGAGGATGCGCCAGTCCAGTCAGTCCAGCGTGCCGGCCGCACACCGAGGCTCTTGGAGCCATCTTGGAGCCATGCTGGCAGAGTCTGTGGCCCGCTCGGGGGCCTCCTTGGGCCTCCCAGGGGAGGGGGGTCTTCTGGCCCTCTTGGGGCGATCCTGGAGGCCATGGTTCGAGTTCGGCGGCGAGCCCAGGGGGGAAGCGAGAAGAAGAAGGCCTTCCCAGAAGCCTCGGAACTCCCCCGGCCTTCTGCGAAACTTCCTACGCCTTCCCCGAAGACACAGATCATCTCTCAGGAGGCGCGAGGGCTTCTGAGAAGCCCCGCCGCCTTCTGAGAAGGCGTCATCCTTCGAGGAGGAGGAGGAGGAGGAGGAGGAGGAGGAGGAGGAGGAGGAGGGGGAGGAGGAGGAGGAGGAGGAGGAGGAGGGGGAGGAGGAGGAGGAGGAGGAGGCGCTCGTCGCCGACCCTGGGAGGCCTGGACCCAGGAGGGGCCTGGCCAGGCATCGGCGGCAGGCGCGCCCGCTGGTGCGGACCCGAGCCTGGGCCTCCGCGCCCGCCGCCTCCGCCGCGGCGCCGGCCCTGGCCCGGAGCCGCTTGAGCTCCTCCTCCGGGCGAGGGGGGCTGGAGCTGAAATCTTACGGGAAGGGGATCGACTGCAGAGCTGCTTTGCCCGGAAATGGACTGCTCGGCGAGTCGCCGAAGAGTGGGTAGACTGCTCTGCAGATCTGTACGAGCCCTCTTCGCATTGTTCGCAGGAAAAAAAGCCGAGGGGGGAATCTGGTATGGGGTACATCAACTCTGAGGTCGACCCCCTGCTCGAACAGTGTGACCCGCCTCCGCTCACGAGTCTTCAAACGGCACCCTTCTGAGCGGGGGTGGGTCCCAAACATTCGCGCCCCGAGCACTCGGGAGTGCGGGGCCCGCCTCCGCTCGGGGGTCTTCCCCCAAGGCCTCCTTGGCGGAGGCGGGGCCCAGAGCTGCAGGCCCGAGGGAGGCGGCACCCGGGAGTCGCCCGCGACAAGAGATCTTGCCACAGGAGATCTGGTGGCACGCTTGAGGTCGGCCTGTCGTAGACAAGCGCGCTCCAATACTCGCAGAGTCGCTGCTCGAAACTGGCCTGGACCCCTTGCATCGAGGCAACTCAAGCTCCATGGCATCGAACATCATTATGCTTTGGGATGTTTTCGAGTAGGCACTTTGCGAGTAGTGGAACGCGCTCGATGATTTCAGCTTGTCACGAGCGGCGAAAATGTCCGTATCCGCGCCCTCGCGGTCGGATTCTGGGGCGCGGGGCACCCGCGAACAAACGCCCAGTATCCGCCAGGTCGCAACCCAAGAGCCCGCCCCGCGATATGTGTTCCGCACATGAGCGTCCTGAGATCCTCAAATGCCTCCTGAACTGTTCCCATAGGAAAGAGAAAGCGGCATACGTCGAGGAACAATCGAATACATGAACATAAACCTTTGCAAGTGCGCGCGGGTTTCTCGGATCGGTGCTGGAACCCCCTAACGGCGCCCCCAGCGCCGGCCCAGTGAATCGCCGCGGACCTCCCAAAGGTTCATGATTATGCCATCTTTTTGCGTGTCGAAGAAAGCAGGCACGCACGATGAGAGATCTAGCTGCAAGAAATCTGGGGGCACACTCGACGTCGGCATTTCAGCGTCCCGAGGTGCTCATGTGCCCGCGTGGGTCAGGGGGGCCATCGAAGGATAGGACATTCCCGTGGGGCGCCCGGGCATCGGCGCTGGACCCCTCTGCGTCTCGAGGGCCCGCGCGGCATTCTTGGATCGGCGCTGGGACCTCTGCCCCGGCGGTCCGCCTGGAATGACTGGACCCGCGCTGGTTCCCTGGAGGGTTCCAAAAGGTTTTTTTTTGATTTTGGGGGAGGGGGTTTTCCAGGAGAGGTCCCCCAGGAGCTCCGCACCCTCGGTTTTGACGAGGTTCCGAGGCCCCTGGTGGGCTCTCTGGAAAACCCCCTCCCCCAAAGCCCTCCTTGTAACCCTCTAGGGTTCCCACCCCTTATCAAGGGCTGGTGCCAGGGGCGCCGCTAGGGTGGTCCAGCGCCGATCCAAGAGATACGCGCGGACCTCCGAGAGCTGATTCTCATGCAGTCTTCGGGCACGGCGCACAAGAACACCCCAAATACCCTTTGGGAGGGGACCAGAGTCAGGAGAGGCAGAAACATGAGGGACAGGGGGTCTTTCTTGCAGATGTATCAGACGAAACCACCGATATGTTCAGGGATATCCCTAATCCCCGTGGACCTAAGTTAGGTCACGAATTCACTGTGCTATCAGGGTTAAAGGTTCGTGTACTCTTAATGGATGTGTCGCCGCGCCTGTTGTTCTCGACGCGCCCAAGTGGACGAAACCGACACCACGGCAAACCCACGGCAAACCCTGCGTCCCGCTCCCGCCCAGACGAAGACGGCGCCGCGGCAAACCGCACGGCAAGCCCTGCGTCCCAGGCGGCGTTTGCCCTGGTGGCCGTGGCGCCCTCCCCAGGGCGTGAAGGCCGCGCGTCGGGACCAACGGCTAGGCTATGCGTAGACTTCTTATTACTGCTCGTCTTCGGCTCCTCGCTGTCGTCCAGCTGCTCTTGCAAGCACCTGCTGCGATCGTCCACCGCGAGGCTCCGCTCCTCCGCCTGGTGGCGCTCCTCCTCAACAAGGTCCAGGCGGCACTTGTGGAGTGCAGGAAAAACCCACCCTCGTGAACAAAACTGCAGCCTTTATAAATTACGACCGATGCCCTGTGGTATACACACCTACGGTCGGAAACATTTGCATGGCGTGGCGGCGGCAGCGGCGGCCCCGGCGACACGCTATGCCTTGCAAGCGGATGGCGTGTCGCTACGTTTCGCGGGGTGGGAGGCTGGGAAAGACTCGGGATGTTGACTCCTCCCGACGGCGAAGCGATTAGCGCAACGCTCCCAAGCGTGGTGTGGCAGAATTGGCGGCGCGACACGCTGAGCCCTCCAATCCCGACAGTGCATACGGAATCGAGCGGGGCAGGCTTGCTCAGCAAAAGCTCAAGACTGTTTCACAAAAGCCAGTTCTGGGGGTCGAGGGGTTGCTTTCTCCGCGGACCTTTGCGGCAGCCAGCTGGCTCTCGGTGTCGCGGAGGCGCCGCTCGAGGACGGAGCGCTCCTGCTCGGCCATCCTCGCGCAGTCGTTGCCCTGGCGGGCTTCGGCCTCCAGCCGGATGACCTTCTCCTCCGCTTCGCGCAGCCGCTGCTCGAGGGACGCGCGCTGCTGCTCAGCAAGCTTTGAGCGATCGACGCCCTCGCGGGCTTCGGCCTCCAGCCGCAAGACACCCCCCTCGGCGTCGCGGAGCCGCTGCTCGAGGGAAGCGCGCTGCTGCTCGGCGAAAACCGCGCGGTCGACGCACTGGCGGGCTTCGGCCTCCAGCCGGGTGGCATTGCCCTCGGCGTCGCGGAGCCGCAGCTCGAGAGCTGCGCGCTCCTGCTCGGCGAGCCTCGTGCTGTCGATGCCCCGGCGAGCCTCGGCCTCCAGGCAGAGCATCTTGTCCTCCGCCTCTCGGCGCTCCTCCTCGCACCGCGCGAGGCGTTCCTGCAGAGACGCCAGCTGGCTCTCGGTGTCGCGGAGGCGCCGCTCGAGGACGGAGCGCTCCTGCTCGGCCATCCTCGCGCAGTCGTTGCCCTGGCGGGCTTCGGCCTCCAGCCGGATGACCTTCTCCTCCGCTTCGCGCAGCCGCTGCTCGAGGGCGGCACGGTCCTGCTCCGCCCTGGCTGCCTGCCTGTGCTCCTCCTCCGCTTCCCTCAGGGCCTCGGCCTGCCTCCTGATCCAATTCTCCTGGCTCAGGATCTTCTCCGAGGATGCGCTGAGCCGCGACTCCAAGCTGAGGTTGTCCTGGCCGCAGGCCCTCGCCTCGCTGTTCCGATGCCGCATCGCGTCCTCGAGTGCCGCGACTCGCAGCTGCTCTTGCCTCAGCATGTCGCTCACGGTCCGCAACTTCTCCTCGTAGAAGTGCGTGAGAGCGCCGGTCCGGCCCTCCTCCTCCAGCCGCTCCCGCCGCGACTTCTGGGCCTCAGCCTGGTGCGCGCCCGAAGCCCCAGTGAGCTCCTCGATGCGGGCCTCGGACAGGCCTTGATTGAACCTGAGCTGGCGGCACTGCATCATCACCTCGGCGAGCTCGTGCCGCTCCTCCACAACCTCACGCTGGGCCCTCTGCAGGCTCCCCTTCAGCTCCGCACTCCCCGACAGAGCCTCGGCGAGCCGCCGCCTGTCGGCATGCAGCGCGCCGTGCGTCTCCAGGTGCGCGGCCCCAGCCTCGTCCAACTCCGCGCGCAGGCCCTCCGTGGCGCGCCGAAGGGCCGCCGCCTCGCTGGCCTTGAGCTCGCCGAGGAGGCAGTCGCGCCGGTCCACCTCACCGCGCAGGCCCTCTGTGGCGTGCGCGAGGGCCGCTGCCTCGCCGACCTCCAGCTCCCCCAGCAGGCCGCGCCACTCGGAGTCGCGCCGGCTCGCCTGCGCCTCCGCCTGGCTCAATGCGACGCGCAGCTCCCAAATCTGCCTCTCTGCCTCGCTGTGCCTCTCGGCGTCCTGCTCGATCTTGCCCTCGAGGGCGGCGAGGCGGTTGTGCACCTCATCCGGCACTGGAGGCAGGGGCGGCGGGGCCAGCCAGTCGGGCCCGTCGGAGAAGAGCGGTGGCTCGGGCGAAGCGGCCCGCGCGACGGTGGCAGCCGCCGCCGCCGCGTCCCTCGCGTACAAGCCGCTCACGGACAGTGGCATCGCGGCGGCGGCCCGCTGCGCGCCCGCGCCCTGCAGGCGCGGCACGGCGCCAGCGCGCGAGGTGCTGAGCGCGGGCGTGGCGGAGGTGCAGGTGCTGCCGAGCGCGGGGGCGGCGGCGCTGCCGGCGCCGCCCGCCGCCCACTCGGCCGCGGCCGGCTCCGCAATCGGGGGGCGCCCGCGCATCTGGGCGCCGAGGAAGCCTGCCAAACCCGCGCCGGCAGCGCCCGAGGCCTCCCCAGCGAGCTTGGGCGGAGGCGGCGGCCTGGGCGCCAGCTCGGGGTCCGAGAGCACGGCGGAGGAGGCGGCCTCGTGCCCGCGCGGGCCGCGCGCGAGACCTGCCCCGCGGCCCGCGGCCGCGGACCGCCACAATACCAGCGGGGCCTGCCGGCCGCCGCCGAGGCCAGGCGCGCGCGCCCCGAGGGCGCCTGCCGCAGACTGCGGGCCCGTCATGGCCTCGGCGACGCCGTGCGCGCGCGCGCTCGCCTGCAGGCGCCGCCAACGCCCCGGGGCGCGTCGGCGGCGGCCCACGGCTCGGCGGTAGCGACAGGGAGGCGCGGCGCAGCGCCTGGGCGGCGGCGCAAAGCCAGGGCGGGCGGCACGCCTGGCGCGGGGCAGCTGCTCCGCCGGCGGTGGCGGCGCGCGGCCCTGCGCACGCGCGCGTGCAGCCGCGCGGCGCCCCCGAGGCCGCGGGCTCGGCCCCCGTGGCTGCTGCGCAGAAGATGCCGTGGGCGGGCGTTTCGGGCAAGGGGCCGGGGATCCGACTTTTCCTCCTCCTCCTCCTCCTCCTCCTCCTCCTCCGCCTCCATCTCCACCTCATTGTCCTTTTCATCCTCGTCAGGGCTTCGCATCTCGGCCGCGTTCACTTTGGCCCGAGGAGGGCCCGCGAGGTCTTCGGGGCGCGTCCTCTGGTCACTCCTCTGATCGCTTCTCTTACTTACCCCGCGGGGAGCAAGGGGGACTACCGCGCGAACCCCTTATGTCCGACGTCTCATCATGTCGTGCCGTGTAGACCAGTCAGTCAGTCAGTCAAGCCTCGCGCTCACACGGCGCACTGGCAAATCCGCCGGCCCCCTTGTGGGGCCACCAGGCTGTAGGACGAAGGTTCGCAGTTTCCTGTACCAGTTGCAGCTTCCAGCTTCCACTGTTACAGTTCTGCTTCTTGCTGCTTGCTGTTCCATGTTGACTTCTTACTGCTCACTGTCCCTTGAGGCCCAAAACGAACATTTCTACCACGCCCTGAGCGTATGCTCTGAATTGCTGGGGTGGGTAAAAATTGACACCCCTCACGCAGATCGGCGGGGTCAGGGTCCAACAAAAGCATTGGATTTGCCACATTTCTGAAATCCGGTGGCACACCTCACGCAGATCGGCGGGGTCAGGGTCCAAAAACACATGCAGGGTCCAAAAACACATGGGATTTGCCACATGTTTTAAATTAGCTGGCACCCCTCACGCAGATCGGCGGGTTCAGGGTCCAAAAACGCAGGGGATTTGCCACATTTCTGACATTCGGTGGCACCTCTCGCGCAGATCGGCGGGGTCAGGGTCCAAAAAAACAGAATGCCATGTTTTTTAAAATTCGATGGCGCCCCTCACGCAGATCGGCGGGGTCAGGGTCCAAAAAGACATGGGATTTGCCACATTTCTGAAATCTGGTGGCACCCCTCACGCAGATCGGCAGGGTCAGGGTCCAAAAACACTAGGGATGTGCCACATGTTTAAAATTTGCTGGCACCCCTCACGCAGATTGGCAAGGTCAGGGTTCGGGAAGAAAGGATCTGCCACATTTCTGAAATTCGGTGGCACCCGTGACGCAGATCCGTAGGGTCAGGGTCGAAAAACAAACAGGTCCCGACACTGCTTCACGGCGGCGCCCAGACCTCATGATTTAGCTTTGGCATCTCCCATTATCCGAGACTGGGGGCCGGCGGCACGGGGCGAAGCCCTTACGGATAAAAAATTATGCATGGGACACTCGTGGATGGAAGGGGGAAGGAACGGGACAGGAGGGGGGCCGAGGAAAGGGGGGGAGGGGAAGAAAACCTAAAACCACACACGCACACACACACACACACACACACACACACACGCGGCCGTTCTGCGCTGTGCTGCGCTGAGATGTGTAGCGGTGTGGCATCCGGAGCCACCGGCTCCGTGCCGGGAGCGCCGGCCCTGGCACTCAAATAGTCGTTTTCGTCGTCCTCTCCCTCCCCTCCCCCTCCCCCTTCCTCTGCCTCCTGCCTGGCCTTGAGCTGCCTCGCCCGTTCGTTCTGCCTCATCTCCGCTTCTCCACTCTGCCCCTTCTTCCTGCCCTCTTCGTGGCCCCCCTTGCCCTCTTACCGTTTTACAATCGCACGCACGTGTGGCTCAAACGCGCTCCCTCACCCACCCGCGTTCCCACATGCTACCGTGAGCCTTGTGCGGACTCGCGCAGTGCAGGTGCGCCCCATCACGCCACCCGAAACCGACAGACACCCACCCTCGCCGAGACAGCGCGCACACAACACGAGCTGCATGCATCGCTTGGACTACAGCACCGTGGTTGTATTGCGTCGCGTGTGTTTGTGCAAAGGCTGGGTCCACCAGTGCGGGGATGGGGCCGGTCCTGGCGGTTGGGTGCTTCCAAGAGCAGCGTGCGGGGTGTGTATCTTGGTGTTGAGTGGCTGCACTGCGGACCGTGCCCCACCCACGTACTTCCCTCTCACCCACCGCCGCCTGCATTGTTTGCCCTGGCGCGCGGCTTGGGCTGAGAAGGTGACAGGATACGGCGTCCCGCAAAATGCGGGGGAGCGAACGAACAAACACGAACACACAAAGACACAAACACACACACACACACAAACGCACACGCGCACACACACACAAATACACAAACACAAACACACACACAAACACACACACACAAACACACAAACACACAAACACATCAACACACACACACAAACACGCAAACTCACACGCACACAAACACACAATCACTCAAACATAAACGCGCACAAGCACACACACAAACACGAACACGAACACAAACACAAACACAAACACAAACACAAACACACACACACACGAACACCTAAACACAACAACACACACACACACACACACACAAACGCACAAACACACACACACAAACACACAACCGCAAACACACACACACACTAACGCACAAACACACAGACACATAAACACACTGACGCACAAACACACAGACAAACACACACACACACACACACACACACTAGCACACACACAAACAAACATGCACACACGACACATAAATACACAAACGCACAAACACACAAACACACGCACACACATGCACAAACACACAAACACACAAATACGCAAACACGGTTTCTGCACGCTGTTTCGTCTTGTGAGGCCGTCATCGGGATCTTCGTGGGCCGTCTGTGGGGCCTCCCGGCGAACCTTTGGGCCCTCCAGGGCCGTCCTGGCGCCCTCCAGAGCTTCGCAGAGCTGTCATGGGGCTGTCTGAAGCCGTTTCGGGGCCACCTGGCGACCCTCTAAGCCCGTCGGGGAGCGTCCCTGGGTCGCTCCGGGCGCTTGGGGGCGCTCACGAGCGGTATTTCTGGAACGGCCTCTGGGGCTGTCTTGGGGCCATCTTGGGGCTCTTGGCCCGATCTCGGCGCTACCTGAATGCGTCTCGAAGCGTGGTCGAGCCGCTTGGAGGCACGCCGGGCCATCTTGGGCGCCTCCTGGGCCATCTTGGAGCACTCCTGGGTTTGTGGGGGCTTTTCCGGATCCTCTTGGACGGACTTGGAGCGTTCGGGCGAGCCCAGCAGCGGTCTTGGGCTGGTCTTGGCTCGAAATGGCGAGAAGGTGGAAACCACTCCAACAACATACGAACATGAATGTTTCGCTTGCCGCGGCCCGTCCGGACGGCCTCTGAGGCCGTGTAGGAGTAAATTTGACGGTGTTGGGGCGTCTCGGAGCTCTCTGTGAGCCGTCTTGAGCGGCTCTTGGGGCCCATTTAATTAGGGGCGCCTGTGGCTCTCTCGGCCGTCTCGGGTCTATCTTGAGCCTTTTTGGGTTCCTCCGGCAGCCGTCTTGCAGCCCTCCTGAGCCGTCTTGGGGCCCTTGCAGGAGCTCCTGGGCGGCCCTGAAGCGTTCGGGGGGGGCCCAGGAGCCGTCGAAATCGCGAGAACCTGAGAATCACGCATCAATGATTTTTGGCCGCCGCGAGGCGTCTGGACGGCCTCTTGCGCTGTCTCGGGGCCATGTGGGCGCTCTCGGGCTGTCTCGGAGCTCTCCGCGAGCCCTCTTGCGCGGCTCTTGGGGCCCGTTTAGGGGCTCCCGGGAGCTCTCTCGCGCCGTGTTGGGGCTCGCTTGGGCCGTCTTGGGCTCCTCCGGACGCCGTCTTGGAGCCCTCCTGAGCCGTCTTCTTGGGGCCCTTGCCGGGGCTCTTGGGTGGCGTTCGGGGGGATCACAAAACACGTCTTGGGCCGCTCTTGGCTCGAAATCGCGAGAACCTGAAAATCAGGGAAAAACCGTGAACAATCAATGATTTCTGGCTGCCGAGAGCCGTCTCGACGGCCTCTGGTGCCGTCCTGGGACCATGCTTGGGCTCTTGGCCCGATCCTGGCGCTCCCAACATGCGTCCCGAAGCGTGCTCGAGCCGCCCGGAGGCACGCTGGGCCGCGTCAGGGGCGCCAAGGGGCCCGCCGAGGCCGAGTTTGGCCGCCTGATCCGTTTCCTTTCCCGCACGCGCTTCCCCCGGCCATGTGGGAGAGACTAGTGTGAACCCGTGGATTAAATCCGCGGTTGCTGCACTTGGGACTTGCAAATCGTAGGTTTAAGCCACAGAACCGGGCGCCGAGGCCGAACAGCTCGTGAAGCTCGTGGAGAGGACGGGGGGTCTGTGCTATCTGGGAGTGGTACCTGGCAGGATCTAGTGATCGTGGGCCGTTTGCCGGGCCACCGAGGACTCTGCGTGGAAGTGTCCCCTGTCACCCGTGCTCGGCAGGGAGGAGCGGGGGAGGAAGAGTCTCCTGGCTGGGAACGGTTGCTCTTTTAGATCCACGGCAATTGTCGGTGTCTTGTGTGCGACTCTGAGGCATCTCGGAGTGGTCCTAGGATAGCTTTTGGTAACTGGTCAGAGTCGCGTGGGCGACTCCGAATTGAGCACCTCGGAGTGGTCTGGGGATTGCTTTCAGGAGCTCCATTGGAACTGACTGTGGAGGGGAGGAGGTCTCTTCTTGGGACCGCTCGGGAGAGGCCCGTGCGGAGTATCGGAGTCTCTTAGCAAGAGTCAGAATCAAGCGGGGGACCTGGGGCATGCCGGCAACCGGGATTTCAGAGAGATCGAAACCGGAGCGGCGACCGCCAGGATGGCGGGATCCTCGATTCTGGAGAGATCGAGGCCGGATCAGCCCGAAATTCTGGTTCCCGGCTCTGTCAGGCGCCCCGGGCCCCCGTCCCCACCACGAGCGGCCACCGCCAGGATGGAGGGAACTGGGAGTATGGAGAGATCGAGCTTGGATAAACCCGAAATCCCGGTTCCAGGCTCTGTCAGGCGCCCCACCCCCCACCCCGCGACCAGCTGTGCCCCTCTGTGTCCCTCTGTGTCCCTCTGTATCCCTCTGCGTCTCTCTGTGTCTCACTGTGTCGCTGTATTTCGCTGTGTCCCTCCGGGTTTCTGTGTTTCTCTGTGTTTCTCTGTGTCCCTCTATGTCTCTCTGTGTCCCTCTGCTCTGTGTTTCTCTGTATTCTCTGCGTCCTTCTGTGTCCCTCTCTGTCCCCCTGTGTCTCTCTGCGTCTCTCTGTCTATCTACGTAGTTTTCGCTGGTTGCGTTTTCGCTTGAACGAATCAGCTTGTCGCTTGAACGAGCATCTTGTCGATTGAATGATCTACCCTCTATACACCCCCGCCCCGCTCCCGAGGGTGGTCCAGAACCCTTCCACACGGACCCCCCAGAACCCTTCCGCAGATTAGGTCGCTAGGCAAATGCGCCGACCCCCTTGGTTTACCAAGGGGGCCAGGCGTGTGGAGGATTTGGGCTTAGGAGAAGAGGGAGTCCGAGGGAGGCGAGGGAGGGTAACACCCCCCCCACGGCCCCCTCCCCCCCTGGGGGGGGAAAGGGGGGGGGTACCGGAGGTCAAAAATTACATCGTCTGCGTATAGCAGCGTTTGGGGCAGATTTGGGGTGCTCTTTTTTTTTTGCTAATCTCGCACTCAGGCTAGCACACAAAAGGTCTGTCGTTTCTGCCTACCCACAAAGCCGTCGTGCGAGAGGTGAAACGGTTTTCGGCCCTCGAAATGCAACAGTGCGAGGATTATGCCTTACATCACCTCACTTTCAACTTTTCGATCATCATTCTCATCACCATCACCATCATCATATTCATCATCATCAACCTAATTTTCCATCATCGCCATCATCCTCATAACCATCATCATAATATTCAACATTGTCATGATGAAGAACATCATCATCATCGTCATCATTATCCTCATGATCGTGATCACGCTGGTGATCATCATCATAATCATCAACATTGCTGTCGTCATCATAGTTGTCATCACCATGCTCGTGATCATCGACAGTACTAATATCATAAGCATCATCATCATAACAAGTATCACCATTACCCATTACCCTCAACATCAACATCATCATGTGCATCACCAACATTATCGTAACCGTCATCCTCATAATCAGCATCGGCAACATCATCAACACCATCAACGTCAACATGATCGCCCTCACTTCAGCCATGAAATTCAGCCTAACGTATTCGGTCATGGCAGCAGCAAAACATCTGTCCAACATCCACTATTCATCATGATTGTGACCATCATCATAAACATCATCACGTCATCATGATGACGATGTTTACTATCATCGTAACCATGGCCTCAATCATCCTCATACTCGCCATCCCAAAAGCGACGTTAATCCTTTCATACGAATGCCGCTGAAACCATCCAACATGCCTTATTGCATAAAGTCGATGTCAACAAGTCAGCTTCAGCTCTCAAACAGTGGTCTTGAATGGGGGTCGACGGCACAGGCCGAAGGCCTGAACATTTTAGTCCTATGGGCGCGAACCGGGTCATAAACAAATGGAAGCGACGGAGTGTTATGATGTCAGCTTACAAACAAGCACGAACCGCAACACACATATGTTTGACACCAACATGCACAGAACCGCTACGATCCAGACATGCCTGACACGCGACATGTATGACTTGCAACACTTCTGACAATAAAAATAATACACGACACGCATGACACGAGAAACGCACATGCAACACACACACATGCAACACACACACACACCACACCACACCACACACACAAAGGTACACACAGACACATACACACGGACACAGACACACAGACACACAGACACAGACACACAGGCACACACACAGACACAGAAACACAGAGACACACAAACACACACACAGACAAACACATAAACACACAGACACACTTACAGACACACACACACAGACAAAGACACAAACAGAGACACACACAGACACAGACACACACAAACACAGACACACACACACACACAGACACACACGCACAGACACACACAGACACACACAGAGACACAGACACGCAGACACAGACACACAAACAGACACACACACACATAAACACACACACAGGTAGACACACACAGACACACACATACACAGACACACATACACACAAACACACACACACAGACACACAGACACACACAGACACACACAGACACACACAGACACACACAGACGCACACACACACGAAGACACACACAGACACAGGCACACACGCACACACGCACACACTCACAGACTCACACAAACACACAATCACGCATCACAACAACGTTAGCACATGAATGAATTCCGACACACGCATGACACGCAGACCATGGTTGACACAAACCTCACTTTTTTTTGTACTGCGCAAATCCAGAACAATGAAATCTCCACCTTCGCACTGCCAAAGCAAGTTCCGCACAAACGGAACCAACACTGCGCCAGACACAGGACAGCAACGCAAAGTGTTTGTTGACACAAACCTCACTAGACAGCAACCCGAACTGACACCAACTGGCAAGCGGCATCGCTCTATATGGAGGGGGCACAGTGTGTCAGAGCTCTCCTCGCGGCGGAGGTGGCGGCCGAGCAGTGCGGCCAAGCTGTGCAGGAGCTCTTACAATGGACAACATTGACAGCCTCATCTCCTGCTCTATCTCGCCAAAAGTTACAGATCCCATCCTCCATGTATCTGAAGCCTCTGGAACGAGCTCGCTTCTGCCGCTGCTGCGGACGAGGTGTGTGTGCCCGCTGAAGGTGCTCACTGTGGCCCAATCGCCCTTCCCAAGCTTCACTATGGATGCCGGCGGGTCGTTGCTGTCCTGACCGAGCCACAACACCTCGGCATCGACACCCTAGTCATTGACGATATTCAGTCCGACGCACCTGGTGCATGACACCCACGTCGGAGGCTCGGCACCAAAATCTTCGGCGAGCCATTCTGCCAGCGGGTTTAGCCTGTCAAGATACCGTGGCGGCAAATACCTATCGGTTGCATGTGCCACCGTGACGGCTCCAGGAAGGGTGCCTGAGGAGCTCAAGTCCATCACCCAATCAAGCAGCAATGCGACAGCCGCCTCGACCTCGCTGTCAGTGCTGTGGTGCACTGGTGTCGCACACAGCAGCTTCATCGCCGCCAGCGGTACTCCGCCCTGGGCCATCTGCCACCAGCCCTTAGTCTCCTGTGCATCACAAGCGGAACGGGTAACGTCGTCAGCGTCGAGGTTCTTTTTGCAAAAGCATTCAAATAGCAACTCCCAGTCGGGCTCCTCAAAGCCAAGGAGCCTGCGCAACTCTCTGCATCCGAGGATCTCTGTCGCGAACGTGTCGAGATCAACGTCCAAGATGAAAGAACTCGCCTTCAAGGACAATGCAACATCCTTCAAGGACTCGGCGGTGAAGGGAATCACCTCCAATGCGAAACTCAACGCCCCTGGTAGCGTACGTATACGAATGGCTCCTTCACTGCCGACGACCCTTCTAGCCGGTCACAAAAATAAGGGCGGCGCGGTATCGTGTACCCTGGGGCGGCGCGGTAGAGGGAACGCGGTAATACAGCGGCGCGGCCGTGTCACGGGACCACTTAAGAGGTGCCCCAGCGCGCGGTGCAGCACCGTGCCACACCACGGCGTCGCGGCGCTTGTGCTGTGTCGCTCCGCGGTGCTGTAGTGCCACATCGCGGCGCCGTGCCGCTGTGCTGCACCGCGGCACTGTCGGGGTAGGTGGCAGTACTGCGGAATGCACGCGCCACCCTAGCAAAACCAACTGCAACAAGGACTTCAACGAGACTGCGCGCCCCAATGAACTGGTCCTCTCACTCGGCCATGCCAGCCTTGAGGCGAGAGCTGACATGACATGGCGTCCCCGGGCCCAGACCTCGACACACGCTTGCACGCACCGGCCTGGCCTCGCTGCCCTGTGCAGGCCACCTGCCCCGCGCCCCAGAGGGGGCCACGAGGGCCCTCGCGGCCAGGGGCGTTCGAATTGGGCGAAAGTGGACAGGCCCCTTGGCCGACCAAAGTTGGGAACGTTTTTTTTCCAACTCCGGGATCTGCGAAGCGAGCTTCGGGGCCGTATTAAGGGCCATTCTAGTCCTGTCCGGCGGTGCGCGATACGGCCCCGGAACTCGCCGCCCAGACCCCGAATCCGGACAACAAAAATGCCCAAGTTAGGTCGGTCAAGGGTCCTGTCAGTTCCCTCCTGGCTCTGAAGCTGGCAAACGAAAAAGAACAGCTATGCTCGTGGCCCTCCCCAGAGTGAGGGGGGGAGATCCCTCGGGCGTACCCCCGGGCCACTCACTGCGGCCCCCCTTCGCAACGGACATCCGCAGAAATTCGCAGAGACACCGAACAGCATCAACTTCGCGAAAATCAATCCATGGCACCAAAGCAGCGACCCCGCCTTCGGCGGGGCGAGGTGTGTACAATGCCACGGCCCAGCACGGCCGTGCGGCACCGCTTTGCGGTGGTGTCAATGCGGCGGCACCACACCGCGGAGATTACCCCCTGTACTGGCGACGACTCACGTCGACGAGAGTAGCTGGCAATCTGCCTATTTCGTGAGTCCGCCATGCCCTCCAAGCATCACAACGGCGACCGTCACCAAGATGGGTGTGAAGAAGCGCATACACCGAATTGTTCATTAGTGCTTCCGGAAAGGGCTTGGAGCCCCAAACCCTCGTTCCAAACCGTCCTCGCCCCAAACCCTCGCTACACACCCTCGCTCCACACCCTCGTTCCAAACCCTCGCTCCACACCCTCGCCCCGAACATCGCAACACCAGCAGCAGGCCCGACTTCGGCGGGGCGCGGCGCTGCGCGCCGCACCTGCTGGTGCTGCGTTTTGTTCCATGTAAAGATTTTAACATGTTCGATCTTTCCACGAACTTCCGCAGCGGGGTGAGGGGGGGCAGCCATGGGTTGGCAGAGGGGGGCCCGGTCCCCAGGGGGTCCCGGGCCTCCTCACAACCGGCTTTGGCTCTGGCCATTGCCACTTGGCGCTTTCAAGAAACCTCTTCGGTGCATTGGCAACTTTCTGGAGGCACGCCTGCGGGAACCACTTCGCGGCGCCCGAATGTTGCGGATTCCAAGAGGCAGCGAGACCCCTAAATGTGTGCGCGAAGCGCGCACTTTTTGAGGTCTCGTTGCTTCTACAGGGGGAAACACACTGAATTATTCACCGTGCACGACAGGTTCGCGCCTGCTCCTCCTCCTCCTTCCTGGAGGGTCGTCGCCGCGGCCGCCGCGGCGGGGGCGAGGCGGAAGGCGCGGGCCACCTCCGTGCAGCCCTGCACGTTCAGCTCCACGTCGTCGAGGCCCACCGGCAGCGCCGCCACGAGGGCACAGACGCCCTCCTTGCGCGAGGCGGGGGCAGAGAGCGCACGCTCGCGTCGGGGCTGCAGCAGCCAAAGACGATAAGAAGCGTTGCTATGAGGACGACAGGGCAACACACACACACACCCATCTAATTATACGGGGGGGCTGACCCGCGCCTCGCGGCTTGAGGCTACGCCATAGGTTTGGGTGCGGGTTGTCGGACACCAAGGGGGGGGCCGTTCAAGCGGGGACTCCCATCCGACACCGCACACCGATAGCCCTTCCTGAAGTCAACCCTGACAAAGCTGAAGGCCGTAAAGGTATTAGTGATAGTTGCCTATTCACGATATGAAAAAGATCTGGAGTCACGTTCGTTCCCAATTGTCCGACGACTAAATTCTACAATCTGGGCCTGTTTCCTCGGTTTCGGCCTCTGGGGTCCGCGTTCAAACCCTAGGACTATTAAAAAACGGATCTGGGCCAAATAACTGCGCACCCCGCTGGGGGGAGGGGTCGGGAGCTCAGGGGCTGCGGCTGGACAATATCATATCGGCGGATGTCAGCGTCTTCCACCTCCCCGAACAAACGGCCCCAGGATTTCCGTGGATGCCAGGGGGGCACATGCTGGAAGACCTGTTCATTCTTCAATGGACGTCCTGTGCATCAATGGCGGTGACGATAACGAAACGTGCTTCCCCAATTAGGCTTCGCTTGAGGGTTTGTTACTTGACTGTGGAAAGACACCAGTGGGTGTGACGCGTGAATTCCTTGGGTTGCTCCGATGCCTGGTTGCCCGGGGTTCCCCATAGTTGCCTGGCTCTGGAATGCCAGGCAATGCCAAGTAACGCCAAGCAAGGCCTGGTAATGGCAATGTCAAGCAACACCAAGCAACGCCAAACAATGCCAAGCAAAACCAAGCAAAACTACAATGCCAAACAAGGCCAAACAATACCGTACAACGCCAAACAACTCCCAGGTTGCCCCGTTGCCCCGGAGTTCCCCCGGTTCCCCCCAAGGTTGTCTGGTTCTGAGATGCTAAATAATGCAAAGCAGAACCCAAATGCCAAGCAAAGCCCACCAAATAAACGCCAAGCAACACCAACCAACGCCAAGCAAAGCAATGCTAATACAAGGCTCAGCAATACCAAACAATGCAAAACAACGCAAAGCAATGCCAATCAATGCAAAGCAAAACCAAGGAACGCCAAGCCTGTAGTATGATCGTCCAGTGGTTTCCGTTCCCGGGATCCTGCGATCGAAGATTGAGTGGGATGGGGGCTTCCCTTTGTACGGTGATTATGGTACGGTGTGGTAACTTTCACGACAGTGGGGCCGGCGGACTTCCCAAAAGAAGTCAGAAACGCCGCTCTGCCTAGAAAGTCCGCTTTGCCGCTTTGCCCCGAACGCTCGCTCTGAGGCCTTCCCCGGAGGGACGCACAATGACACATTAGTGTCATCAGAAAACGACGATCGGTCAGTCGCTGCTGCACTCCTCCTCTCCGCTTTCCTCGCCTCCGCCTGCCATTTGTGTGTCGTCTCCTGCGTGCGTGCTCGGGCGTGTGTGGAGGCATCCGGGATTGGCGATGTCTTGGGTCCGACCAGGCAACGCGCCACGCACTGCCGAGGAAAACCAAACAATGCCGAGCAACGCCACGCGATGCCAGGCAACGCCAAGCAACGAAAAGCAATGTCAAGGAATGCCGAGAGGAACCAATCAATGCCAAACAATGCCAGGCAATGCCAAGCACCGCAACGCAATGGAAATTAATGCCAAACGCCCCTAATCCAACGAAAGATATGCCAAGCATGCTTAGCCAGACCCCCTCCAAAAGCTATCGTTGGAACGCTCTTCGATGTGTACGGAATGCTGCACTCTCGCGGTTTCTTCTCTTCTCTCCGCCTCCTCCGGCCTCCTCCTTCACAATCCTATATCCCTCCACATCGTCGTCGTCCGCCTTCTTCTCCTGCAGCTCTCTCCTCCCCTCTCTCCCGCTCTCGCCCTCTCTCTGCCAAACAGAATGGAGGGATCACATCAACTCACATGTTCTGGGTTTAAGCGTACACGCCCAGTGTGGTGGGGTGTGTGCAGCCTTGTGAAAGGGACTCCTGTCCCCCGCTCGTCGCGAACTGCTGCGTGCACCGCTCCAACCCCCTGCCGGTGCCACACATCCCGAATGAGAAACAAGTCTGCGCATCCGAAGCAACGACTCCCTAGTAAACCTCTTACAAGAGAAATAGGTCCACGGTCACGAGGCCACGGTCACGAGATCACGACACGCGCTCTCGACCCTGCAATCCCAAATGCAAAAACAAGTGATCCTGGCGGAAGGCCCAACCATATGCAGTTGTGCGTATCGCCGATGTGGGCATCGCCTTCGGTAGATCTCCTTACCGGTCCACGAAGCGTGTAAACGGTGTGCCGAAAAGGGGCTGGGCCGCCATGCGGGCGCTGCTGATGGGGCCTTCGGTATCATCCCTCTCAATGGGGCCACCAAACGTGTGAGGGGTAGCCAGCGGGGCCGCCATGCGAACGTCTCCATTGGAGCCTTCGGTGGCGCTCCCCATGGGGCCACGAAGCGTGCGAGGGGTGTGCCGTAATGGGCAGGGGGGGCATGCGAACGTCGTCACTGGGGCATTCGGAGAACGCTATACTGGGTGGCGCGGACGCACGCGAACGTGAACACTGGGGCCTTCGGTTAAGCTCCCCATGGAGGCCCACGAAGCGCTGTACTGGGTGAAGCGGACGCATGCGAAAGTCGCCATTGGAGTCACGAAGCGCTGTGTTTGGTGGGCGGCCGCATGCGAACTTCGTCAGTGTGGCCTTCGGTGGAGCTCCCCATGGGGCCACGAAGCGCACGCATGCGTACGTCGCCAGTGTGGCCTTCGGTGGAACCCCCTAGGGGCCCACGAAGCGCTATACTGGGCGGGGCGGACGCATGCGAACCTCGCAACTGGGGCCTTCGGTGGAGCTCCCTCCGGGGCCGCGGAACGCTGCACTGGGTGGGGCGGACGATTGCGAAAGTCGTCAATGTGGCCTTCGGTGGAGCCCCCACTGTGAGCCACTAACGAGCTGTATTGGGTCGGGTGGGGCGGACGCATGCGGACGTCGCCACTGGGGCCTTCGGTGGGATTCCCTATGGAACTGCGAAGCGCTGTACTGGATGGGGCGGACGCATGTGCACGTCGCCACTGAGGCCTTCGGTGGAGCCCCGCCTTCAGGGTCCCGAAACGCTGTAATGGGTGGGGCGGACGCATGTGAACTTCGTCGCTGGCGCCCGGTGGAACTCCCTATGGGCCCATGCGCTGTACTGGACGGGGCGGGCGCATGCGAACGTCGACAGTGTGGCCTTCGGTGGAGCTCTCCATGGGGCCACAAAACGCTGCACTGGTTGGGCGGACGCATGCGAACCTCGCAACTGGGGCCTTCGGTGGAGCTCCTCGGCGGGGCGTACGCACGCGAACGTCGCCAGCGGGGCCCCTTGGTGGAGCCGTGGGGCCCTTATGGAGCCACGTAGCGCTGTATTGGGTCGGGCGAACGCACGCCAACGCCGCGCCACTGAGGCCTTCGGTGGAACCCCCCCATGGGCCCACGAAGCGCTGTACTGGGCGGGGCCCGCGCATGCGAACGTCGCCACTGGGGCTTTCGGTAGAGCTCCCCACGGGGCCACGAAACGCTGTACTGGGTGGGGCGGACGCCTGCGAACGTCGCCACGGCGGCCTGCGGCGGAGCTCCCTACGGGGCCACGAAATGCTGTACTGGGTGGGGCGGGCGCGTGCGAACTCGCCACTTTGGCCTTCGGTAGAGCTCCCCATGGCCCCATGGGGCCACGAAGCGCTGTACTGGGTGGAGCGGACGCATGTGAAAGTCGCCACTGAAGCATTCGGTGGAGCTCCGAATGGGGCCATGAAGTGCTGTAGTGGGCGGGGCGGGCGCATGCGAACGTCGACACGGGGGCCTTCGGTGGAGCTCCCTCTGGGGCCGCGAAGCGCTGCACTGGGTGGGGCGGGCGCTTGTGCACGTCGCTACTGGGGCCGCCGGTGGAGCCCCCTACGGGGCCCACCAAGCGCTGTACTGGGTGGGGCGGACGCATGCGAACGTCGTTACTGAAGCATTCGGTGGAGCTTCCAATGGGGCCACGCAAAGCTCTACTGGGCAGGGCTCACATGCGAACGTCGCTACTGGGGCCTTCGGTGGAGTTCCCTATAAAACCGCGAAGCGTTGGAACTGGTGGGGGGAACGCATGCGAACGTCGCCAGTGGGGCTTCGGTGGAGCTCCCCATGGGCCCACGAAGCGCTGCACTGGGTGAAGCGGACGCATGGGACCGTCGCCATTGTGGCATATGGTGGGGCTCCCCATGGGGACACGGAGCGTGCGAGGGGTGCCGGAGTGGTTGGCATGTGGAGAGAAAAGGCACGCAGAGAAGGAGGGAGGAGGGGGACGAGAAGGAGGAGGAGGAGGACGAGCGGGATGATGCTGATGATGACTATGATGGTGGTGATGATGATGATGATGATGTTGGAAAGAGCGTGGTTCTACCGCTGCTGGCGGAAAACCGGGGGGGGTCACTACCGGTTCGAACCCCTCCCCCCCCCCCCCCCCTCCGGAAAACCGGGGGGGGTCACTACCGGTTCGAACCCCTCCCCCCCCCCCCCCCCCCCCTGCTCATCATGAAAAGGGGGGGGGGGTCACTACCGGTTCGAACCCCCCCCCCCCTCCGGATCCGGAAAACCGGGGGGGGTCACTACCGGTTCGAACCCCCCCCCCCTCGAAAACCGAGTGGGGGTGCGGACAGTGGTGGGGACGGTGTTGGTGGGGACAGTGGTGAGGGGATAGCGTGACAGTGGTGGGGACAGTGGGACAGTGGGACAGTGGTGGGGACGGTAGTGGTGGGGACAGTGGTGGGGACAATGGTGGGAACAGGGGGGGACAGGGGACAGTGGTGGTGACGGTGGTGGTGGGGACAGTGGTGTGGGGACAATGGGAATGAGGTGGAAACAGTGGGACAGTGGAGGGTACAATGGTGGTGGGGACAGTGG